TCTCTCTCTCTCTTTCTCTCTTTCTCAAAATAAATAAACATTTAAAACAAAGAATATATCTATATATATGTATATATTTTTAACGTTTATTTTTGAGAGAAAGAGAGAGACAGAGCACAAGCAGGGGAGGGACAGAGAGAGAGGGAGACACAGAATCTGAAGTGGGCTCCAGGCTCTGAGCTGTCGGCACAGAGCCAGACGTGGGGCTTGAGCTCATGAACCGAGAGATCATGACCTGAGCCGGAGTTGGATGCTTAACCAGCTGAGCCACCGGGGTGGCCCTATTTGTATATTTTTAAAAATCTTAGTAGTGAGAGTTTTTGGAAAATAAGTTGGGCCATCTCAGAAATAGTGAGCTCCCACCACTAAAGAAATTTTAACAAGTGCTGCACGGATCATTGAGGGGCTGGTACAGGGCTGTGATTCCAAACTAGTTTTCATCAGAGGATGTACTGGGTTTTTTTTTTGTGTGTAACTAAATGCATTCCATTGAAAGTACTATCCTTTAGGGGCACCTGGCTGGCTCAGTTGAAAGAGCATGCGACTCTTGATCTCAGGGTTCAAGCCCCATGTTGGGTGTAGACTTTATTATTATTTATTATTATTATTATTATTAAAGATTAGGTTAAAAAGAAAGCATTATCCTTTAATCTGAGTCCTCTCAAAGGGTTTGGTATTCAGGCAGTCTTTGTTTTATGAAATATGGTATATATAGATTATAGGTTTTTTCCCTAATAACCTTACTTGGCAATAGTCTTACTTTTTGGTCTCCAAAATTTTGGGGGAAATTTTATTGGTCTTTGAAATGTAAATTTCTGGGAACTAGGGTTGTGGGGAAAGTGAATAATTTGGGTAGGCAAGTAGGTGCCTTCGAATCCCCTTTTGACCCTGAGATTCTCTTACTTCAGGGCCACAGTTTGGACCCCCTCATCCCAGTGAGTCATTCTGCAAATGTGAGCTTTTAGGTGGGGGACTGGGTAAAGATGTGAGCGGTTCCACTCAGCTCTGCCACCTACAACTGTCATACAGTTCTTCCAATATCCCCTCTTGGCAGGCAGACCCTGCAAGGAACCGCTGCCCCGTGTCCCCAGCTTCACCCATCCTTGGATTCCCACATGCAGGCATGTGCGGAAGGCTCCTGATGGGGAGGCTCTGTGCTCCGTGCCACAGGGCCAGGGGGTGTTACTGACGTCAGCCCCCCCCCCAGGGTGTCTACCCCAGGGAGCATATGGCGTGACACCCTTCATCTACAAAGCACGGTTTTGTTATCACGGCTTCCTCATACATAAAGTGAGGGTCATAATTCCATCCAGCAGCCACGGAGATGCATCTGTCCCCGCTCCCCTCACCTGCACCCAGAGCTGGAAAGAAAAGTCAGACTCTGAGAAGCTCACCATGAGATCAAAGCAGAATGGGTACAGCAGGGGTGTGCACAGCTTACCTTAAAGACAATGGCGTCCAAACCAAGAGACCTGATTGTCCCTGGACCAAAAACTAACACATCTACAAAGAAAGGCCCATGAGCTGTGGGTACTTAAAAAAAAAAAAAAAAAAGCAAGAGGCGACTGAGTAGAGAGGGGGCCTGACCTGGCCTGGTGACTTTCCCTTTGGTGGAAAAAGTCACCTCTCCCAGCCCTTGCCCCCGACATAGGAACCTTTTTTGGCCCCCTCCCTTAAGTTTTGCTCCCTTACCCACCACACCGCCTCTGCTGTGCCTCTGATTGCCCTCGGGGAAGGGCCTGCAAGGACAGACCACGCTGGCCAGAGGCCCCGGGTGCCTCTGTCCTGTCCACTGTGTCCACTGTGTCTCCCAGGTGGGTTTAGACTCGGCTGTGTGGCATGTGTCCCTGTGTCAGGGCACTGTCTACCTTGAGTTTCCCCCCAGAAGCGGAGGCCCCTGCAGACGTGCTGGCAGGTCCTAGTTTGGAGCCTCAGACGCTGAGGAGGTAGGCCCAGCTCTCGCCGAGGTCAGGCCACCCTTGTATTGCCAGGCAACATGCTGTACCTCCATTGGCCCTACCTTCTTCCCCAATCTTGGAGCTCCCCCAGTTCGGCTCCCAGTGTTCTTGTGAAGATGAGGTCAGTTAGTGGAGGGGAAAGGGCATCCTAACCTGTCCAAGCATTATTCATATTAGATGATGACCATCACCTTCTAACGGGATCATGTGTATATTAACCCTTTGCAAAGTGGAACGGGACATGTGAACTATCCTAGTTCTGTTGGGAGTCAAGAACCGTGGGAAATTGACAGTTAGGCTCAAGAGAAATGGCAGATTGGCCACCCACCCACCCCCCTTTTGAGGGTTAAATTGATAATAGTGCCAGGGTTTACCCAGAGGAAGAACTAAGATGGGAAATGAACTGTGCTGTGGTTCAACAGGTGGCTGCCTCTCTGTGACCCCCCGGCTAAGTCGGGCTGTTGTGGAGCGGTAACCGGGGCACTTGGGACCCTCCATCAGAAGCCCTCTGCAGACAGCCGGTGGGTTTCCAGTAAAGCTCAAGGGCAGCGCGCACCATCACGTGGCTCACCATGCCCTGAGCTCAGGCTGTTGTTTTTCCACCGGACTAAAGCGAGCCCCAGCACCCTCCAGCTGCTCCTGTGAGAGGGAAGAGGGCCAGTGCCTACTTAACCCGTTCTTACCTCTGACAGACACCCCTGCCAAGGGGCCCACGTGGGCTGGATACAGGTTGATGTGGCACATCTGGAGGAGCTCAGGTGTTCTTTTTCAGGGTGGTATGTTCTAGGCAGTTTGGATGTGCGTTTATATTTAGGAATCACTTGGCGGGCGAGAGAGGTGGCGTGGCAGCAGGGGGATGATAAACATCATACCCGCCGTGCGGAGTACTCTTCTAAGGATTTCACCTGCTATCTCACTTAATCCTCACCCCCCAAAATCCCTGGGTGGTAGACCCTATTTACAGATGAGGAAACTGAGGAACAGAGGGCTTCATTAACCTGTCCAAGACTGCACAGCAATTAGGAAGTGACAGAGCCAGAAGTTAAACCAGGCAGGAAGTGTGACAGTGGGGTCAGAACTCTGTTTATTATTCTTGTCATTTTTCTGTTGCACACCTAAGGCAGAGAAAGACTTGTCAAGGCCACACAGCTGGTGTGTGACGGACCTGGTGGTCAGACCCAGGTCGGTCCACCTCCGGGGCTCACACTGGTAACCACCACTCCATTCTACAGCTGTGGTCGCCCTTGGTATTCAGTGGTAATGTGTAATATGGTATTATATATCATGTAGTATGATATTCTATCATAGTACCTTACCGTATTAGAGTATAACCTATTACAAGGTTACAGTTTATTTGATGAGTTCTCTATTGTTGGACAGTTAGATTGTTTCCATTTTTTCAATATTAGAAATAAATGCCAAGTTTTGTTTTTTAAGAGAGAAATGGTAGGAATGTTGTTTGGTTTATCAGTTTATTTGTTTCTTTTCAAGGATTTAGAGCAGATGGGCTGAGCTCTCAGATGCTGGAAGAATTGGAGGCTTTGAGTTGACTGCTTGAATGGAGAATGAAATTCTGATTAGGAATGGTGCCAGGTGGAGAGAAGGAAAGAACAGACTCTGTGCTGTAGCCCAGGGATTTGGCATTGCCCACTGAGATAGAAAATTGGGGATGCATTGCAGAAATATCTGTAATTCCCACTTTGGATATTTTAGCATTCTCTAGCGTTTTCCAGCCCAGTGTCTCATTGACATTGCCCAGATACACACGGGTGGGGCTGGGCAGAGGCTGAGCCATTTTCTTTCCCAGATCAGCCATGTGCAGCCATCTGGAGTTACACCATCTGTCCATCCCGTGTCCCTTGCTCCTTTGGCCCTTCCATCTCAGTGTGTCTTTGAGGTTCCCCCTTCAGTTCTTATGTCCCCGGTCGAAAGCAGAAGAGGAGGCCTGAGCACATCGTACACAATGATGACCATAATGGCCTCCATATGCTGAGTCCCCAGCACGGTAGTGAGCCCTTTCCAGGCCTCCTCTTTTGTATCTTCACAGCTTTTGGGAAGGGGACCGTTATGGAACTACCATCTTATGGAGAAGGAAAAGGAAACTTCAGGAAGTTAAGGGCTTGCCCAAGGCCATATAGCCAGGGACTGGTGGAGCTGGGATTCAGAGCCAGGGCTATCTAAACTCTGTGGCCACATCTCCTTTGCAGCCTTCGTGATGCACTATAAAAAGAAGACCCTCTAGTTCTCGGTGGGGAATCTTCAGAAAATCAGCAGGAACATGTTCATTACCTGCATGTGTGTTTACCGGATGGACTCACTTAGAGGATGTTGGGATAGTAAAGGATCCTGGAAGTATCTCTTTCCTACCATATTTTTAAAGTGCGTCAGATGAGGTCCAGAGAGATCAGCAGACTTGCCGAAGGGCAAGATGGTGGACCAACCAGATTAGAACTGAGGTCTTATGACGTCCACCCTGTGGTTCTTTGAGAGGCAAACAGCTCTTTGTTCTACTCTGTTGGGAGCATTGGGATCAAAAGCATGTGCCAGTAGGACAGATATAGAGAAATAGGAGTAGTTTGGTGGGGCTGGGCAATGCTAAGGTCCATGGAGACAGGGAGTCACAAGAATCCTCTGATTGTCCGTGCCTATTCCAGAATACACCCAAATCCTAATCCCACCGTATAGAAAAATACAAGTGGGGGCAAGTGGCAGGAAGGCAGTGTGGCCCAATGATTAAAGGTCTGGGCTCTGGCATGAGACAGACCAGGAGTCACATCCGGGCAGGGTGCTGTATCTCCCGGAGCCTCAGTTTCTTCATCCACAAAATGGGAGTCACAACTGCTTGTTACGTGGGACCACTGCAAACATGAAATGAGACAAGGCTTGTGAGTAAACTGGCACACGTTTGTGGAAAAAAAGAGAAGAATCTTGGGATTGTTTGAGTTGGTAGCAAAAGGAGAACACAAAACTGGTAACCAAATATGTGATTTCAACAAAAGGCCAAGTATTTCTTAATTTCATCTGATTCATTATTTCCCACAGGCTCTGTCAGAGGGGTGCTCATCGCACATTTCTACATGGTGGCGAAAAGCTCTGTGACCTCCCTTTGGTGAAGAACGCGGGTGAGCTCAGTGATAATACAGGATGCGTTTTACTTCCTGTCTTGAAAGGGGTGGGAGATAAGAGAAAGGAAGATTGTTAATATAAACTTGAAATCCAGATTCTTTCTAAAGTACGTCTCCTCAGCTGGGTGACCTCAAATGAACCTCTCACTGTCTCTATTGTCTCTTTACCACAAGGTCATTGTGATGGCCACATAATAGCCACTTTACATGCAGTATCTTATGTAACCCTCAGAGAAGCCTACAAGACAGATATTACCATTCCATTTCTAGATAAACGAGAAGAAGACAGTTCCGGGAAGTTAAGTAACTTGTCAAAGGCCACACAGCAACTGGCAGAGCTGTGATTTTTTTTTTTTTTTTAGGTTTATTTATATTTGTTTTGAGAGGGGGGGTGGGTGGGGGAGGGGCAGAGACAGTCGGAGAGAGAGAGAATCCCAAGCAGGTGCTGCACTGTCAGCACGGAGCCTGACACGGGGCTTGATCCCATGAACTGTGAGATCGTGACCTGAGCTGAAATCGAGAGTCGGGCACTTAACCGACTGAGCCACCCCAGTGCCCCAAGATCTGTGATTTAAGACCAGGTCTGACCCCAGAGCCCACATGCTTCCCAGTATACCCAGGGTAGATTCAGATTTTGTTGGGTCTAAAGCTTCTGCAATTTTAGAGGCCCTCTTTAAGAAGGACAGTACAAAATCACAATACTAAAGATACCAAAGTGCATATTTATTTAGATTTTGTGATGAAATCACAACATACTAGGAAACAATGTTAAAGCCCAAACATCACAAAATCCAGAAAAATAACATAATATTTATGTGAACTGCTTGATGCTCCTCTATGACACCTTTTGTATCCTCTTTGGTTGCATTCTCCTATGACAATGATTTTGTAATCTTTACCATGGAGCAAATAAAAAAGATAACCCAGTGTTTCTCTAGCATAGTTGATTGGAAGTTTTTTTTAAAAAAATTATTGAGAGTCTGGAAAAGTTTCATTCAGCTTTACAAATCATTATTGGTAATGTCCTATAAATATTGGGATAATTGTCAATTTTGGAAAAACCTCCATCAAAGTTTCTTCCATATATGAGCCATAAGATTTTAGGGCATTTCGTGTTTTCTGGTACAGCGATTCATCTAAAATCATCTTTGACGGGCTCCTGGGTGGCTTGGTTGGTTAAGTGTCCGACTCATGATTTTGGCTCGGGTGGTCATCTCACGGTTCGTGAGTCCGAGCCCTGCACGGACGGTGCGGAACTTGCTTGGGATTGTCTGTCTCCCCCTCTCTCTCTGCCCCTTCCCTGTTCACTTGTGCACACACGCTCACTCTTTCTTTCTCAAAATAAACATACATACATACATACATAAGATTTTTAAAAATTAAAAAAAATAATCTTTGAATTGGTGACACTTCTTACCCTATTTTCTGTCAGCTAAGTGTTATCTTTGTTATCGGAATCTTGTGTTAAATCGGCAAAAAATGCTCATCTTTTCTAGTACACCCTTCTGTCTTCCACCCCCTAGGATGGAATGAGGATGGTTATGTTACTGAAAGACTCATAAATAAAGTCCTTTCTCACAAGTCTGTGACCTTTTCAAGGGAATTCATTACAAAATACCGGATGTGAAAACATCGGAAGCATTTGGATGATTTGGCCTGGAAAGGGGAGGGCTCGAGGCAGCAAATAAATAACCACCTTCAAGGATATGAACCTTAGTGGTCATTAGAGTCAGAAGGGTGTATCTGAGCCTGATTCTGAGATCTGAGGGGAGGAAATGGGGGGACTCCGTTAGCTGTCTAGTTAACAGGGTTCTGCAAGTCACTTGGAGCAGGTAGCCCTAAAATGGATACAAAGAATAGTAGAAAAGTAGGTGAGTGACAACAGCTAAAACTGCCTTGCTGTGGACTCAAAGTGTGACCCATGGTCTGGTACCTGCTGTGGGAGCTGGTTCGAAGTGCATAATGGGGCCGGTGGACTGGGTTGCTCCTGGCTGGCTCAGGATCTCAGGTATCTCAGGATCAGAAGGTCAAGCCCCACGACGGGCCTGGTGATTACCTAAAAAAAAAAAAAAAGAGAGAGAGAGAGAGAGAGAGAGAGACATACCTAATCTTGGGTCCCACCTACAACTGTTGAATGGGAATCTGCATTTTCCCAGAGCTGCGGGTGATTGAGAAACCCTGGACCAGAGACTTTAGTTGGAACTTCCGGGCGTGCCCACCCAGGCTTGGTGGCTGTCATTTGCCTCTGTGTCCTTGGCCTTAGGAACTGGCTTCTCTTCTAGCTTCTGGCAGTGTGGATTCATTACATCTCTGTTCCCCTCCCGCCAGACTGCAGACTCCTACAGGGTTGAGTTGTATTCCTCTTTGTTTTCTGGCCCTTTACAGTGCCTGACACCCCGAGATACCACTTGTGGACTGTCCACTGCATGCCAAGAGCTTTGCTCTCTCTTACCTCATTTGCCTCTCACCTCAAGGTTGTAGGCTGAAATAAATATCCCCATTTGATGCATGTATGTATGTGTGTATGTATGTATATATTGTCTGTGCCCAATGTGGGGCTCAAACCCACGACCCTGAGATCAAGAGTCTCATGCTCTAACGACTGAGCCAGCCAGGTGCCCCAGAAGTCCCCATTTTATAGCTGAAGAAACTGAGACTCTGTCACTTGTTTACGGTCATAAGTGGCAGAAGCCAGGAACCAAACCCCAGGGTGTCTGATTCCAAAGCCTTCATTAAGAGGATCGGTAAATGTTTGTTGAGTCACTTACTTATTACTTCGTTATGATTCAAGCGTTCATTAATGTTCTTATTCATTGAGGAGACTCCTGGGAATTTGAGGACGACAAGCAGTAAAAACTGCTGCTTCTTGGTGAACTTTTTCTAGAATGGGAGCTGTCTGGCATCAACCTTCCAGAGGCAGGGAGCTAGCTGGGCTGCAGAAGCCCCCAGCCTGTCCCTGGGAGTGGGGAGGTGGCAGTCCTGTATCGCCCCCACGCCTTTCATAATGTCCTCCATGACTCAGCAAAGAAACCCTGGGTCTGAAATCAGAGATGAGGCAAAAAAGCAAAAAAAAAAAAAAAACCAAAAAAAAAACCCCCAAAACAAACAAACAAAAAAAACAACAACAACCAACTACCCTCAAAAATGTTTTCTTTTCCTGGAGGAATTTCCCTTTCATGTTCCTCATAACTCTGCCAGGGAATCCAGGAAGCCTTTGGCCTGGGGTCAGCTGTGACCATCCCCCCTCACCCCCCAGTCTAGTTTCTCTGGGATTTGTCCCTCCTCCTTCTGATTCCTCCGTAGGCCTGGGACAGCATCAGGGGCCGCCTTCTTCCGTGGTCTCGGATTCTGGTCCACCCAGCCCAAGACTCCTTACCTTATGTTAAATTATTAATCCTGATCCTGGACCCAGATTGTTGGAGTTCAAGTTCTTGCCTGTACCTTTTACACTGTGTGACTTTGGGTAAGTCACTTCACTTTCCTCTTCTGTGAAGTGGGCACAACAGTACGTTTGAGGATTAAAATAATTAATGTACGTAAAACACTTAGAACAATGCCTGACACAGTGATTACTATCTAACTGTTCGTGTTGTTATTATTCATTATGGAGCAGTAATTAATACCCAGAGGAGACCTGGGTGAGCTCGTGTTGAACTTCTATTTCTTTCTCTTTCTTTCTTTCTTCCTTGCTTGCTTGCTTGCTTGCTTTCTTGCTTTCTTCCTTGCTTGCTTGCTTGCTTGCTTTCTTGCTTTCTCTCGATAGGGAGAGTGAGTGCATGTGCCAGGGAGACTGAGCCAGGGAGGGGCAGAGGGAGAGGGTGAGGGAGACTCTTAAGCAGGCTCACAGGGTGGAGCCTGATATGAGGTTCGACCTCACAACTGACCATGAGATCATGACCTGAGCTGAAATCAAGAGTTGGACCTCAACCCACTGAGCCACCCAGGTGCCTCTGAATTTCTCTTTCCGTTTCTTCTAGCCCCACCCCAGATTTTGCCTGAATTCCCAATTATTCATGCTGTAGAGAGTTTAAGGGGGCAACTGCAAATGAGTGAATAAATTAATAAATTAGAAAGCTCTGGGTTGCTCTCTGAAAATGAGATTATTTTAATGGACGAAGAAGTCTGAGTCAATAGAGTTGACTGGGGAAGAACCACATTCCATCCAGGAGGAGGGTGGCCCTCTGAGAATTTCCGATCACGGGATAGACAGACCTGCCTACTAAGGGGCAGTTTACCGATAGACTGATAAATTCAGTATGAAGATCTCTAGACAACAGGGGAAGGAGAGAGTGATTCCTGGTTAGAGGCCAGCTTGTAGCCCTCAGCCCTGGACAAACATACAGAACCTGGGCCCCACACTTAAAGATTCTGATATCCACATCTGGGAGTAGAAACAGGGGCATCAGAACTCTTTGTTTGTTTGTTTCAATTAATTTTTTGAATTTACATCCAAGTTAGCATCTAGTGCAACAATGATTTCAGGAGTAGATTCCTTAATGCCCCTTACCTGTTTAGCCTATCCCCCCTCCCACAATCCCTCCTGTAACCCTCTGTTTGTTCTCCATATTTAGGAGCCTCTTATGTTGTGTCCCCCTCCCTGTTTTTATATTATTTTTGCTTCCCTACCTTATGTTCATCTGTTTTGTATCTTAAAGTCCTCATGGGGCATCAGAACTCTTAAGAAACTTGCCACATAATGAGGAATGAAGTCCAACAGTAAACAGAATCAACTTAATAATAGAACAGCACATTACTGTAAATGAGTAGGTACACTTCTCTCTCCTTTGTAACCATCCCTCCAAGGTAGTTTATATTATCCCCATTTTATAGGTAAGAACACTGAGGTTTGAGTACTTTAACAGCGCCATTGTGTAATGCAGGCCTGATGTAATGTGCTGCATTCCACACCGCAGGAGGTCAGCCTGGAAGAAACTTCCCAGAAATTGAAATTAAGATTGTTCCCTCTGATGTAAACTATAAAATCAAATCGATACATA